TGATTTTATAAAATTTTTTTAATAAATTATTTTGATTTTTTTTAATATATAGCTTAGAAAAATTATTATAAAAATTCGTTCTTCTTCTCAACAACATGAAAAATTAAGTAATACATGTAAAAATAATCAAATTAATGATTTAAAACCAATTTTAGATGTATCTACTAGATGGAAATTAACATACAATATGATTCAAAGAGCTTTAATTTTAAGAAATGTAGATATTTTACTATACTTTTTATAATAATTTTATAATTAAATTTATTTTATAATTTTATAATTTAGGCTTTAGAACCAATTATATTATCTGATTGTGAACTTAAAAAAGATATACTTACAGATGAAGATTGGAATAATTTAAAATAAATAGCAAAGTTTCTTATATTATTTAAAGAAGTAATAATTATAATGTCTGGATTTACTTATCCTACAATTACTACTGTAATTCCTTTATATAATCTTCTTATTGATCATATAGAAGATACTATTGATAATATAAATATATTATCTTCAATTAAATTAGCTGCTAAAAATGTAAAGAAAAAATATTAGAATATTATAACAAAACAAATAACATATATTTATTTGCAATTATTTTGAATCCAAGATTAAAATTACAATATTTTAAAGGTAAGAATAGGGTGATAAATTAATAAAAACAATTCAAGAAAGGTTAGTTTTTTTGTTATTTTTTTATAGAAATTATAATTATAATTATATTAATAATATCTATTTTTTTTTTTGGTTTTTTATCTAATTATAATACATATTATAAATCACTTAATGAAATAACTTCTAATATATTATATGAAAATGAAAATAGATCTATTATTTTAAGTATATTTAAAAATAATAATATAGAAAATGTAAATAAAAGCTCAAACATATTTTGCTTTACTTACATGTAATGAAAAAACAGATCCACTTGAATGGTAAAAAATTAATGAAAGTCAATATTCAAATTTATTCAAAATGACAAGAGATTATTTATCAATACCTGCTACTAGTATTCCATCTGAACAAAGTTTTTCAATATGTAAAAATTTAATTACAGATAAAAGAAATCATTTATTAGAAAAAACAGTAAGATATTGTATGTGTTTAAAATCATGGTGGGCTAGTTCTTTAAATGAATTAAATAATTAAGTAGCAATTAAAAGTTTTTTTAAAAAAAAAATTTATTTTTATTTTTATATTTTTTATATATTTTTTTATTTATTTATGTATTTATTTATTTATTTTTATATTTATAATAATAAAATTTATAAAATAAAATTTAATTATTGTATATTGCATAAAATTTTATTAAATTAGATTAAACCTTCTTAGAACTGAAAATAAGAATTCAGAGTTTTTTAGAGCTGAAAAGGTTTCTTTCATTGAAAGGAAACATTTTCAGACCACTTAGAACTGAAAATTATTTCCTTTTATTAAAAAAGAATGACTTTTCAGATTTTTTAGAGCTGAAAAGGTTCCTTTTATAATAAAGAAATGACTTTTCAGAACTCTTTTAGAGCCAAAAAGATTCCTTTTATTAAAAGAAAAAATTTTCAGATCTCTTAGAACTGAAAATTCGTTTCCTTTCATTAAAAAGGAATGACTTTTCAGAACTCTTTTAGAGCTGAAAAGGTTCCTTTCATTGTAAAAAAATGATTTTTCAGAACTCTTTAAGAGCTAAAAAAATTCCTTTCATTGTAAAGAAATGATTTTTAAAATACTTTTAGACCTGAAAAGGTTTCTTTCATTATAAAAAAATGACTTTTCAAAACTCTTTTAGAGCTGAAAAATTCCTTTCATTGTAAAGGAATGACTTTTTGAAACTTTTTTAGAGCTGAAAAGGTTCCTTTAATTGTAAAGGAATGACTTTTCAGAACTCTTTTAGAATCAAAAAGGTTCTTTTCATTGTAAAGAAATGACTTTTCAAAACTCTTTAGAGCTGAAAAGGTTTCTTTCATTATAAAGAAATGACTTTTTGGAATTCTTTTAGAGCTGAAAGGGTTTTTTATTGAAAGAAAACATTTTCAAACCTCTTAGAACTGAAAATTCGTTTCCTTTCATTAAAAAAGAATAACTTTTCAGAACTTTTTTAGAGTCAAAAAGGTTCCTTTCATTGTAAAGAAACGACTTTTCGGAACTCTTTTAGAACTGAAAAATCATTTTTCAATAAAAATTTCAGATCTGGATTGGATCAGATTTGGATTTAAACTGATCTATCAGATTCAGATTTAGGACTTGATCTGTCAGATTCAGATCAGATCTGGATTTCAACAGATCCGTCAGATTTGAATCAGATTCAGATCCTGAAAAATAAAAATCAGATCAGATTAGATTTTATCCAAATTTAATTTGATCTGATTTTGCAAAATACTAGTTAGATCAGATAAGCTTTTCTTATAAACCTAAAATTAAAGTATATAGATTTTTTAAAAATCAAAATAATTATTTATAAATATAGCTTATAAATTAAGCAATTCCAATATTTGAGATATTGTATCTTGGTTACATTAGAGTTTTTTGTTTTGATTAATCTATAAACTATAATGTAATGATAGCTGATACACTAATTGCAATAAGGATGAATTTGGGTCTTAGAGAAATACAGCTAAAAATGCACGATGATTAGTACATTGATAAAAATGGAAAAAAACATGTGCAATCAATAATATTTTCAGATAATTATAAACTAAAAAGTCAGCCAAAAAGTATTAAGCAAATACTTAAAGAGCATAACCTTTGGCTAACAAAAAATATTTGTTTGATATGTAAGCAATATTTTGAAAAACATAAAGAAATTGATCTAAAAAAACTTAATTGTTGTGTACGATGAATTATGTTACTACAATCTGATTTTTGTGAATAACGTACAATATTAGAGAAAGAAATAATCAAAGCAAAATATATCTTTAAACAATACTCAAAATTTAATTGCAAATGCAATCTCATAGAATGATACTAGGGTTTTGCAAAACAGGAGACAAGACGACTATATAGTTATAATTTTGCTAACTTATTAATACAGGTTTTATAAGTTTTTATTAGTGTTTCTATAATAACTATTCGTAAATTTGCTCACAAGTTTTGGAGGTATATGGATACATATAATAAAGGGTTAGAAGGTAGAACCACTAAATGGGCTATTAGCAAATATAAATTACAACCTACCAGAAAATATTAAAAGAATAATGGATCAGTTAGATGATGAGAATAATCCATAAAGAATAAATTAATACATTAATACTTAGTTGTTTTATGATTTCTACATAACTTCTATATAAAGCAGTATCAGTTACTTTTTCATTGCTAATATTCGAAAATGTTTAAAGAAATTTATAGACACATTTTTTGCTAATTGTCATTTTTTTAGTTACACAAAAATGTAAACATTTTTTATTGGCTGAAATAGTATCACGTGATATTAGATTAGTGCCAGAAAATTTAAAACAAAATCACATGATTGTTGAGTATAGACTTATGGCACCATATTTAAAATGGTCAAGTTGTACAAGAAAATATAATTGAACAAAAATACAATATTCAATTTATTAAATTTATTTTATATAATTTAATAGCATATTCTTATATTATGCTAGTGTATATAGATATACATAATCATCTACTACTACCACTTAAATGTACATTAATAGAGCTTAAAATAGAATTGCAAACAATAATACAAAGTGCTATTTTTTTAGATGATAATGTAAATTCATATTCTATTTTATCAGGTATATTTTAAATTATAATTATTTTATTTTATAAATCCATATAATAATATTTTCAATTTTTATATATAAAAAATAGTATTAAAGCAACTTTTGATAAAAATACTTTATTAGAAATTCATGCATTCTTAAATAATATAGATAAACTAAATGTTATAAAAATATGCATTCTTATAGATAAGGTTATTTAGACATATTATATAGTGTTCAATGTAAAAAATTTGATATACATAATTATGTACGTCGTATAGGTATATTATTTATTTTTTTACAAAAATAAATATTTAGTTATTTATTAATTTAAAATATTTTATTTTACTAGAACAATTAGAAGATGAACAAACTTTAATTTTATGTATGCTTAATTTTCAAGCTAAAATATTACAAGAATTAAAGTATTTTCAAATTGATTTAACTTTTAAAAGAGTGTATGGAGATATAATGAATTTGAAATTAATTCCTATGATAATATTCATAAATTAAGTAAATATGTTAATTAATTTATTATTATTTTTAATATAATTTATTTTTTTAACATATTTTAGTTCTTTCTTATTGTCATATATATACCAATATTTTTACAGCTGATGCGTATCAACATCTATTTACAAAGTAATTGAAAATTTAAGTAGACAACCAGTAAAGTTTCGTCATATTAATGATACAGATTGGAAATGTATTCTCAGAGATCTTGATGCTGGACAAGCAAAAGAATTAGGTTTAGCTTTAGCAAAAAGAGATTTTAATAAAGATTGGGAAAAGCATTTAATATGTATTAGTTATTTACCGCGAAATCAGAGATATCATCAGGTGTCACAGCGCAGCCGTGACCCCGATGATGTTGGCGATTGAGCGGTAAATAACTATTATATTTCCCGATTACTAACGCCCGTGATAAGAAAATCACATGAATTATAAAAGTCACATGTTATTGTGACGTAAATACTGTTTTATATTATGAATAATTTTTTTTTTACATTGCTTAAAAAATGAAATCAAGAAGACCGTAAAATTTAATACTTGCTCGTGAATAATATTTAAAATCTAAAACAAAAAATACTGACATTGAAAAGGAAATTTTATTTCCTGTGCAACAAATTCAAGATTACAATAAGAAACAGTTACAAATTATAAATCTTGAATAACAAGATTTACCAATTAATATGCCTTTCAATAATAGTAGTAAAGAAAAGGCTCTGATGTTTAATAAATGTTACTTTCAAAATGTTAACTTTTACTTTAAATAATGTATATTTCGTTAATCATAAATGCTTGTAATAATGAAATATTTTAAAAAATGCTTTTTTTATATCAAGCTTACTAAATAAAATATATTAAATATTTTGCGGTACGATTTTCGTTTGATATATCACGGTAAATGCGTCATGTTGATATTTTCACGGAAAATTCAACTCCGATAGTGAATCCGGTAAAATATCAATATGAACCATCACGGGCAAACAATTAGTAAGCGGGTAATATATATTTATATGCAAAGGATGTACGCCCGCTCAATAATTAGCTTTTGAAATATTTTTTTAGTTAAGATCGTTCAGAGCTTAACAACGGTCCAGTTCCCTAGTATAGGACTTTTATATATGCTTGAGCAAAAAGATCCGTTATTTATATTGTATTATGTGGTGC